TGGGTGACATTCTCCCCTCCTCTCCACACTGATGTCCCGTGAGGTCGCAGTTGCTCCGACACTTCCGCATACCGCTCCCCTCCCTCAAGGCTCATCCATCCTTTAGTGCCTGGATGAAAGAGAGAGAAAAATTGGGCTCTGTGCACCGATACTTGCTACTATACACACCCTTATAGACAATTTCAAGGGTAGCCCTTTTGGTCTGCAGTGCCACAGTTTGAGACCCGAGTGCCGTGTGACAGAGTGAGCTCCCATCTCTGGCCCCAGCTCCTGTCAACCTAGCAGTTCGAAAACAAGAAATTGCAAATAGATTAATAGGTACCGCTTCGGTGGGAAGGTAACAGCGTTCCGTGCGCCTCGGCATCTAGTAATGCCAGCCACATGACCACGGAAACGTCTTCGGACAGCGCTGGCTTTTCAGCTTGGAAACGGAGATGAGCACTGCCCCCTAGAGTCAGATCTGACTGGCTTTCGAGCAAGGGAAGCCTTTACCTTTTTACAAGAGCTAGTGAGTTTGGTGCAGTGGTTAGGAGCATAGACTCTAATCTGGAAGAACCGGGTTTGATTCCCTGCGCCTCCATATGCAGCTGCTGGTGTGACCTTGGGTCAGTCACAGGTTGTCTCAGAGCTGTTCTCTCAAGAGCAGTTCTCTCCGAGTTCTCTCAGCCCCACCTACCTCACAGGGTGTCTGTCGTGGGGAGAGGAAGGAGACTGTGAGCCACTCTGAGACTCCGAGTGAAGGGTGGGGTATAAATCCAATCTCTTCTTCTCTTCTAGATTCAAATTCAGTAGCACCTTAGAGACCAACAAGATTTCCGAGGTATGGGAGCTAACCAGAAATCCTGTTGCCCTCTGACGAGGTACTGTGACCAATGTTCCCGCTAAGCTGTGGGGTCTTGTGAGCAAAAATTCTACTTTGTGAGCTGCTGGCATTAAGGTTGTGAGTGAGCGATTTGGCTGCTGCATCAATGAGCTTGCTCCGGAGCCATCCCTTCCTGGGCGAAGACAAAAAATGTGTGAGCCGGAGGCTGAAAAACTGTGAGCTGGCTCACACTTAACTCAGCTTAGAGGGAACACTGACTGTGACTCAAATCTAGTTCTTCTACTGCAGAAGAACCTCAGTAAAAAAATCAATTTGTTAGTGTCATTTCTGTCATAAAACCATCACGGTAAAGAGCAGACAAGCAAATAAAATGCACTGGATGCCGCCGTCACTCAGGCACAAAATAGCTGGAGTGTCCAGAGAAGTCAAATAAAGAACCATCTACAGGCCCTTAGGAGGGGTTTTCCTGACTTTGCTTTTCTCAGCCAGGAGTCTAGAGATTTGGCCCCGAGGCTCTGGAAAGGTGCCTGCATAGAAAGCAACCATACCTGAAGATACGCCCCACTGTGGTAATTTGGAGGTCCAAGAAATTCTTACCCAGTACGGTTGCATCTCCGCTCTCAGGCTCCTCCTTGGCCTCCCAGTGCAGCTGCCGGTGGGTGTGGCTAGACGGAACTGGTTCCGGCTCACAGAACCTCAGAACCACCTCCTCAAACGGCGTTGTTACCTGGAATGACAGGGAAGGTCTCCTTCAGGGCTAGAACGTATGAGGTTTCCTTATGCATAGTTGATCCGCAAGTCCATCAAGCTCAGGGGGATGGGTCTACAGGAAGGTCTTCCACTACTCCTACTACCCGTGACCCCCTTTATTGAAGAGGCCAGGATCAAATCTGGACCTCATCCTTTCAACTGGAGATGCCGGGGATTGAACCTGGGACCTTCTGGAAGCCAAGCAGGAGCTCTACTATTGAGCCGTGGCCCCCTCCCTAAATGGACCTACCTTCACCTGAATTAGACCCTTGGTCTACCCTCATCCTTTCAACTGGAGATCCTAGAGATTGAACCTGGGACCCCTGTACTCTACCGCTATGCCATTGTGTCCTCCCTAAATGAACCTTCCCTTGATTAAGTTAGGCCCTAGGTCTACAGCATCCTTAAGAACATAAGAACATAAGAGATGCCAATGTTAGATCAGGCCAAAGGCCCATCCAGTCGAACACTCTGTATCACACAGTGGCCAGAAATACCAGGTGCCATCAGGAGGTCCGGCAGTGGGGCCAGGACATTAGAAGCCCTCCCACTGTTGACCCCCCCCCCCCCCCAAAGCACCAAGATGACAGAGCATCACTTGCCCCAGAGCCCCTATCTATACCTTGTGGCTAATAGCCACTGATGGACCTCTGCTCCATATGCTTATCCAGTTCCCTCTTGAAGCCGCCCATGCTTGTAGCTGCCACCACCTCCTGTGGCAGTGAATTCCAAGTGTTAATCACTCTTTGGGTGAAGAAGTACTTCCTTTTATCCGTTCTAACCCGTTCTAACCCAATAACCCTTTCAACTAGAGATACCAGGGATTGAACCTGGGTCACTGACTGTGACTCAAATCTAGTTCTTCGACTGCAGACCAACATGGCTAACCTCAGTAAAAAAATCAATTTGTTAGTTTCATTTTTTGTCATAAAACCATCACGGTAAAGAGCAGACAAGCAAATAAAATGCACTGGATGCCGCCGTCACTCAGGCACAAAATAGCTGGAGTGTCCAGAGAAGTCAAATAAAGAACCATCTACAGGCCCTTAGGAGGGGTTTTCCTGACTTTGCTTTTCTCAGCCAGGAGTCTAGAGATTTGGCCCCGAGGCTCTGGAAAGGTGCCTGCCTAGAAAGCAACCATACCTGAAGATACGCCCCACTGTGGTAATTTGGAGGTCCAAGAAATTCTTACCCAGTACGGTTGCATCTCCGCTCTCAGGCTCCTCCTTGGCCTCCCAGTGCAGCTGCCGGTGGGTGTGGCTAGACGGAACTGGTTCCGGCTCACAGAACCTCAGAACCACCTCCTCAAACGGCGTTGTTACCTGGAATGACAGGGAAGGTCTCCTTCAGGGCTAGAACATTTCCTTATGCATAGTTGAACGGCAAGTCCATCAAGCTCAGGGGGATGGGTCTACAGGAAGGTCTTCCACTACTCCTACTACCCGTGACCCCCTTTATTGAAGAGGCCAGGATCAAATCTGGACCTCATCCTTTCAACTGGAGATGCCGGGGATTGAACCTGGGACCTTCTGGAAGCCAAGCAGGAGCTCTACTATTGAGCCGTGGCCCCCTCCCTAAATGGACCTACCTTCACCTGAATTAGACCCTTGGTCTACCCTCATCCTTTCAACTGGAGATCCTAGAGATTGAACCTGGGACCCCTGTACACAAAGCAGGTGCTCTACCACTATGCCATTGTGTCCTCCCGAAGTGAACCTTCCCTTGATTAAGTTAGGCCCTAGGTCTACAGCATCCTTTCAACTAGAGATACCGGGGATTGAACCTGGGACCTCCTGCATGCAAAGTAGACGCTCTACCACTAAGCTATGCCTGCTCCCTACAATTACTGATGTAGGGAGCTGCCTTGTACGGAGTCAGACCGTTGGTCCAGCTAGCTCAATACGGTGCACTCTGACTTCAACCGGCTCTCCAGGCTCTCAGGCGGAAAGGGTCCTTCGGAGGAGGAGGAGGAGATTGGATTTATATCCCGCCCTTCACTACCCGAAGGAGTCTCAGAGCGGCTTACAAACTCCTTTCCCTTCCCCTCCCCACAACAGGCACCCAGTGAGGTAGGTGGGGGCTGAGAGAGATTTGAGAGAACTGCTCTTATCAGAGCTACGGCTTGCCCAAGGTCATCCAGCCAGGTGCAAGTGGAGGAGTGGGGAATCAAACCCGGTTCTCCCAGATTAGAGTCCGCGCACTTAACCACTACACCAAACTGGCTCTCCAAACTGGTGGATATAAAGCTTCCAAAATGACACTTTTCCTTTAGTTGGGGCAACTGAGGGTGGCTGTGAGTTCTTCCTGATTGTTCTGACAAGTTTCCCAGTGGGCTCAAATCCTCACTTTGAGCCATTCATAAACACACCACAAAATGTGTTTGTGTGGGTACTCTGTGTGGTGTTCTGGGGTCTCTGGAGAAAGGATAGGATCAGCTGAGGGACTGAGCTGAGTTGCAGGAGAGAGATAAAATGTTCCTCACACCCAGAATCTGTGCTCTCAGAGGCTTCCAGAGCCACCACTTCACCCCCCGGTTCTTATTTTATTTTTATTTATGCTTTCAGCTTGTATCCCGCTCGAACCCCAAGGGGTCTCTGAGCGGCTTACAGTTACTCTTTATCCTTACCTTTTCAAATGATCGGGACAGGGTGTCAACGGTGGAAGCAATTTTGCGGCAACGGAACAACGAGACCTGATCCTTTCTCCTGCCCTACCCTGGGGTAGTCTCCGCAGTGGTTCCAAATCCACCCATGAGGGATCACTAATTTTTCGATAGCTAGGGGGCACACTTTCCTTCTGCATTAACCCCCCCCCAAGCAAAAAAACCCTGTCCACTCTGATGCATACCCATCTGTCTGGTTAGTTCACCTGCTGACCTTTCTGTGTGTTCCCACTTTTTGCTGGCTTTCTGTGTGTTCCCACTTTTTGCTGGCTATCGGAGATGGACTTTTTCGGCTGTGGCCTTCTCCTTGACTGCCAGCCTTGGACAGGGTTGTTGTTGTTTTTTAAAGTGGAATTGCACACTGAAATGTGATGAGCGTTCGCATGCATGGCACATTACCCCTGTAGCAAATCTGTGCCTTTTTCTTGCGATGTTTGCTCACAGTTGCATTTGGAGGCATTTAGAAGTCTACCTAGTGCTGTCAACTGACCAGTTCTGAGGATTCCCCCTCCCACCTTCTCCAAGAGGAAAGACTTGAATTTTTGAACATCACACATGTTCTTCTACAGTTGCACATTTTGTGTGTGGTTGCACATTTTAAGGGGGGGGATTAAAGGACCTGTTGTTGGATTTTATATGTGGCGTCTGCCACCCCGGAAGCCCGAGGGATTGTGCGGCAGAATACAGATCTCTAAACCAAATAAATAAAATCAAGGAGACACCTGAAAATAGGTTCGAACTTAACTCAAAATAAATATTTTAAGAATGGGAAGGATTACTGGCCCTCAGTGGAGCCTGCATCAGTTCCTTTGTAAGTGCCCTTCCTGACTGGAAGAAGCTCACAAAAAACAACACATGCAGGGGCCTAACAGGCACCCTCCTCCCTATCAGAGCATTTCTACTTTGCCCCTGAGGAAGGGATTGATTGATATATTCCCAGCCACAATGCAATCATAGTAAGAGTTCTCACGTTCAGTCTTGGGAGGAAGCAAGCCAGAGCAGCAGAGCATACAGAGATTCGTCAGGCAGCCTCCTTTGTGTGTGCAAATGTTATCCTTTAGTAACTTAAGTCACCCCTCATAGCACCAAAGACTGCCCCAGCACGCTATCTGGAAATGACTGATCTGAGGAGACAGAACGGGGAAGGTGGCCCTAAATCTGCAAGTGCCCTTTTCCAAAACAGAGGCGGGCCTTTCCGGATGATGACATCTCTCACCTGCAGTTGCTGCCGCTCAGCCTCTCGCTGCCTCTGTAAGAATTCCTCGGCCAGGGCCACCGCCTGGGAGCAGGTCTCTGGCCCACGTTCCCTCACCCAGTCCTGGACCTCCGGTGGGAGGATGGTCAGGAACTGTTCCAGGATCAAAAGCTCCAGGATCTGCTCCTTGGAGTGCCTCTCGACCTTCAGCCACCGACGGCAGAGCTCCTGGAGCTGACTGTACGTCCCCCTGGGCCCCTCGGCCTCCTGGTAGCAGAAGTGCCGGAAGTGCTGGCGGCTCTTCTCCCTGCTCAGGGCGTCCCCTCGCAAGATGGCCCCCTTCACTTCCCCATAATCCTCCCTGTCTCTCGGATCCAGCCTGCTGTAAGCCTGTTTGGCTTCTCCGCTGAGGGCTGGCAGGAGACGGGCCGCCCACTCTTCCTTGGGCCACCGGCAGGCTTCGGCCACTTGCTCGAAGGAGGCCAGGAAGGCCTTGCTGTCATCCCAGGGGGTGGGCTCCTCTGGCAACTGTGGGGTCCCGCAGCCTGCGTGAGAGGACTCCATGGTCTTCAGGAACTCCTGCCACTGGACCTCCCAGCGCTGAAGGAGACCTTCCCCGGCTTCCTCTTTGATCTGTTGCGCAGGCATCCTCTGCAGGAATTCTCTGATGCAGCCTCTCTGGCTAATCTGCTGAGGGCCCTTCCTGGACCTCTCTGGTCCCTCCATGCTTTTGGGGCCTCCTTGGTTTTGCTCCTCCGTTTTCATCCCTGGCTGATCTTTCAGCATCAACGGCTTTTTTTGTGGGGGCGTGTTCAAGAGCAAAGCGAGGGCTTTCTCCCTGCATGAAAAGAAGACATGTGCAGGTACATCATTAAAGTTATACTCCGCTTGGCCAGTGCTCCCTCTTCCACCCCCTGCTAACTGTACCGAAAGGCTTTCAATGGAGCATCAGACCAAAGGGGCAGATCAGCAAGGGGAGGGATAGGGCTTTCTCCCTGGATGAAAAGAAGACCCGTGCAGGCACATCGTTAAAGTTATACTCCGCTTGGCCAGGGCTCCCTCTTCCACCCCCTGCTAACTGTGCCGAAAGGCTTTCAATGGAGCATCAATACTGGAGATCAAAGGGGCAGATCAGCAAGGGGAGGGATAGAGACACAGAAGCAACAGCCTTCGCCTTCCAGGACAGGAGGGCAGGAATAGGAAATCCCTCCTCTGCTAACTTCAGAGGACGGCGGAAGACAGGAAGGCCTGGCGGGATCTGGTCCATGGGGTCGGGAAGAGTCGGACTCGACTGTGCGACTGAATAACAACAACAAAATTGATTCTATTATGGGGGTGGGAATCTAGATAGACAGACAGACAGATGATGGATGGATGGTAGATATTTCAGGTTTTTCTATAAACCTGGGGCTTTCTGTGGTTTGTAGAAAGATCTGGTGGTGTGGCAGTTAGAGTTTTGGAACTAGGATCTGGGAGGCCCAAGTTCAACCCGGATCTGCCCCACTCTGCCACGGAAGCTCACTGGGTGAGTTTGAGCCAGTCACGGCCTCTCAGCCTAACAACAACCCTGTGAGGATAAAATGGAGGAGGGGAACAATGTAAGCTGCTTTGGGTTCCCACTGGGGAGAAAGGTGGGGCGTAAGTAAACTAATATAAACATACACATATAGGCCCACGTTTAGGTTTTTAAAAACTATTTATTTATTTGAAAAAATTTAATGCCTCCTTTCCACTGGATCAGGGTCCCCAAGGCCACGCACAGAAAAATTCCTTTGAGAGGTGGAGGAAACACTTTTGCCACCAGCCGGGATGTGGTTTCTATTAATATATTAGATCCCTATTTTCCTGCCTCCCTCCGAGTAACTAAGTACTTCTTCACCCAAAGAGTGATTAACACTTGGGATTCACTGCCACAGGAAGTGGCGGCGGCTACAAGCATGGATGGCTTCAAAAGGGAATTAGATAGGCATCTGGAGCAGAGGTCCATCAGTGGCTATTAGCCACAAGGTATAGATAGGGGCTCTGGGGCAAGTGATGCTCTGTCTTCTTGGTGCTTGGGCTTCTAATGTCCTGGCCCCACTGGTGGACCTCCTGATGGCACCTGGTATTTCTGGCCACTGTGTGACACAGAGTGTTGGACTGGATGGGCCTTTGGCCTGATCCAGCATTGGCATCTCTTATGTTCTTATACGTAGTTCTTCCCTCCTCCATTTTGTCCTCATAATAACCTTGTGAGGTAGGTTGGTCTGAGTGACTGGCCCGAGATCACCCACTGAGCTTCAAGGCAAGGTGAGGATTTGAATCTGGGTCTATGCAATCCTACTGCAAACTTATGGTTACCCCCCCTCCACGGTCTCTCACACCAGCTTGAGATGTAACTACTGACCATTTTGCTTCTGTGCCTTTAATAGGGTCATGCAGGAATTGACCATAAGAACATCACACGCATCCTTCTGGATCAGACCATGGCCATCTCTCCTCCAGACCCTCCAGCATTTAGTATTCAGAGGTATACTGCTTCTGAATATGGAAGCTCCATATTAATAGAAACCATATCTCAGCCATGGGGGAAAGCGTTCCCTCCACTTCTCAAAAGAATTTTTATGTGCACTGGCTTGAGGGCCCTGATCGAGTGGAAAGGAAGCATAAAAATGTTCATAAAAACATGAAGCTGCTTTATACCAATATCAGAAACCCCTTGGTCTTCAAGATCAGTATTCTCTGTTCCGACTTGACTGACAGTAGCTGTCCAAGGTCTCAGGCAGAGGTCTTTCATGCCACCTTCCGCATGAGCCTTTATTTATTTATTTAATGACATTTATACCCCGCCCTCCCCGCGAACGGGCTCAGGGCGGCTCACATAAGGCACCAGGTGCATTCAGTATACAAATTACAAATATAAACACAAGATTAAAACAATTTAAAATCAGTTTAACTGGAGATGGCAGGGGTGGAACCAGGGACCTTCTGTGTGCCAAACAGAAGCCTCTACCTCTGACCCACAACACCTGCCATAAATGAACCCGCCTTTTCCTGAGATAGATGTTTGGTTTATCTCATCCTTTCACCTGGAGATGCAGGGGACTGAACCTGAAACCTTCTGCATGGCAAACAGGTGCTCTAATCGCTGATCCAAAGAGGGGGTCAGAAGAAGAAGAGGAGGAGGAGGGGGAGGAGATTGGATTTATACTCCACCCTTCACTACGCAAAGGAGTCTCAGAGCGGCTTACAGCCTCCTTTCCCTTCCCCTCCCCACAACAGGCACCCTGTGAGGTGGGTGGGGCTGAGAGAGCTCTGACACAAACTGCTCTTTTTCAAGGACAGCTCTTATCAGAACTACGGCTTGCCCAAGGTCATCCAGCAGGTGCAAGTGGAGGAGTGGGGAATCAAACCCCGTTCTCACAGATTAGAGTCTGTGCACTTAACCACTACACCAAACCTGCCCTTCACTGAGTTAGACACTTGGTCTACCTGATCCTTTTAACTGGTGACGCTGGGGATTGAATCTGGGACCTTCCACCTGCCAAGCAGATGCTCTTCCACTAAGCCGCTAGCCCCCCCTCCCCACGTCTAAATTATTTATTTATTTATTTATCAGATTTATACCCGCAAAGCAGGCTCAGGGCTGCTGATTCTGACTAATCAATTGTTAAGCCCCCCTAAGCCAATGACTGGGGTCACACAGCCTGTAGCAGAAAATCCCATTAAAAAGAAATACTCTCTTTTGTAGGTCCCGAACGTGCCACGGGTCAAAGAGTTCCAGCGGTGTGAACTGGGACGGATCGTTTCCCGAGCAACCTCGTTTGCTGTAACGGGGTAAGCCGGGCCGGCCACATTTTTTGTTCCGCCCGACTGAGCCAGCCTAAGCCACGTAACGTTCAACTCCTGGTGGCTTCGAGGGCAGGGATTTAAGCATGCGCTTAATAGCCCTCCGTTAAAACGGATCCGTAACTTTGCCCGGATGCTGCGTGTGTGTGTGTGTGTGTGTGAGAGAAAATCCCCCCCGGCCCCCCCAAACCCTCTGCCACTTCTGTAGATCGCCAGCAAAGGGTAGCCAACTGACTTGGGGAGTGGGGGAGAACCCTCCATCAAGTCTGGCCCGCTCCTCTGCCTTCAACAGAGTAGCAAAAATCGCTATACATTTGCAGCGGTGTACTTTTGCAGCATACATCGGTCTACAAACATTTGCGGCGGTCCCCAGGTGCAGAGCGAGCGGCTCGTAAAGGCACAGCTGCAGGGTGGCAACTCCAGATGGGAGGGTCGCCTGCATCCTCTTCCTCCTTTTCATTTTTTCTGTCACCCCCCACCGTCCCTCCTCTTTTTTGGATGCAATCTCTTCTTTTTGTGGTCAGGCCTCCCCGCCACCCACTCCCCCCCCCCCAAACCCCCCCCAGGCCCCCCCAA